ACTGTATCGTCTCGAAGAATAAAAGTGAACTTGTTGAAACTAGTCTCCACGTACTTTTAAATATTCCAAGAATATCGAACAACCGAGATGCGTGTCCAGATTCTTAGATTTCAAGCACCTCGTCGCGATGACGAAGGAGAATCGAGACTCTCTTACGCAGCGAAGAATGAATCGATTTGTACGAAGAGAGAGAGAGAGAGAGAGAGAGAGGGAGAGAGAGAGAGAAACATTCTCAGTACTTGGTCAATTCCCAACTTGCGATACCAACGTACTGATACTGATTATCGTAACCAGACGTAAAGCTAGACCGGCGGGGCGAACTGAAAAATCGCGGTGTGGACCGGTCGTCGTGTGCAGTTGGGGTATATACGCGGGTACCGAGTATCGGGACGGAGCTGGTACTGGGGGGATCGATCGGCGAGCGAAAGAAAAAGGCGGAGTTCTCCGCGCGCGCGGCTCAACTTGATAAAGGATTCCATCGGTGCCGGGGCGGTAAGGAGCGGCCAGTATAAAATAAATATGTGCGACGGCCAAACGGTGTTCCACCTCCCCCTTCAACCCCCCTCCCTCCCTCCCTCCGTCTCTACACCACCTAGAGATCCCTCTTTCCTGCTTCAGCAGCAGCAGTGGACTCAGCTTCCCGCTCCGGGGGCAGCTCGCAGGGGCTTGGAACTCGCGCGTGTTGCCGGGTAATTGATTTCTTTGATAGCGGCCGCACGAAAGGAACATTGTAGATGCTTCGACTACTGGGGGGGAGTGTGGGGAGGGGCGTGAGGAGGGGATACGAGCGTACCGTTCGCGATCTACCATCCCCCTGGATCAATGGATATCTCTGCGCCGGACAAGCCCCTCCAACTCGCCGTCTTCCCTCCTACGAGGATGACCAATAACAAACACCGGCACTTCTCTCTCTCTAATGGAGTTTTTACCGATAAAAAATTCACTCGGCTTCCTCCTTTTTGCCCGGGGACCTGGTCGCTTTGCTTCCTTCTCTCCGGCCACCGGCTTGTCTCCCACACTAGCCCCGAAACCCACCGCCCCCTCCCGCCGTCTGCTCTTGGTCCAACAACGACGACGACGACGACGACGACGACGACGACGACGACGACGACGACGTCGGCGGCGGCGGCGTTCCGTTTTCTAGGGGATACTTACACGCCGACACCTTTGGTCCGTTCCTCGATGTCTCGTCGAGAGTGGCCCGCTGGCGGTGTGCATCGTTATACAGAAGGGGGTGGGTGTCCCACCTCCTGCGCCACTTTTCAGACAGAGTAGAGCTTTACAAGAGTGTTCCCTCTGTAAAGAGAACGTATTGCAGATCGAGAAAAATACAGGTTGACATTTGTCAAGACGTAGAGAAATCGCGAACGTATCTGCAATTTTTCCTCCCTCCCCCCGACTTCAATTGGCAATGTCCAAACCAATGGCTGGAACTGGAATTTCCAAAGTTCTCGAAAACTTCCCTTCGCCGCGACAGACGAGAGATAGTTTTGCGGCGAGATGGTCGCGAAGATGCAAAGGCTCAACGGGGGTTGGCTTAGTTCGTGGAACAGCGAGTTGGTGGTGCTGACGGCATGTATCGATTGTTCCGCGATATAATGCCGCCAGCCACGCACATATGAGGCCGCCGCGGCCGCGCAACCCCCGCGCATCGCAGCCACGCGCCGATGAATCCGTGTGTGTATGTCCACCAGCGCCGCGCCGCGTCTTTTCCAGCGTGTTTTATTCAGCTCCTGTACCCCACCAGTTGATACGTCCCAACCTGGCGAGGGGTAGGTAAGTTCAGGCGGCGTCAGTTTTTCGACTTGCTTTCACCCCGTTCCGTTCTCTCCGACCGGCGGTAAATCCTTCAAAATAAATACGAACAATTCATAATTTCACTTTTACAAAACGTAAACATCTTCCTTCTTCCTACTGCGTGAAAAGTAGAACACGTATTGAAAAAGACTATTGAAAAAGAAAGCAAAGCAGTCTATGATAATTTCAGCCTCTGTGGGCGCATAAATCGCGTGAGTGAAAACTATCGGCTGACGTACACGAGAGCGAGCGAGAGAGAGAGAGAGAGAGAGAGAGAGAGAGAGAGAGAGAGAGAGAGAGAGAGAGAGAAAGAGAGGAGATCTCAACGAACGTAAGTGAAAAATATGTACATAGAATTTTCAGCATGCACGCGAAATTTGCACGAGGTCGTAACATGCTCGACAATAATCGTCGTCGCACGCAAACCAAGGCGAGATCCTCTGGAACGATTCAATTAAATCGTTTACGATTCGGCAACGGTAACATGCTCGTTGCCCCTTTTCAGGGATCAGTTTAAGTAAATGGCTCGTATATGACTTCCTTGTCTATCGATTTCTGGTGAACCAGATAAGCGTGTGTACAAGACGAAACTTAACGTTTATCGAGCCGCGTAATTGTCTTGAATAATCGTTAACTTCGATTAATAATAATTAGCATTATTGTAACCTATTCGTATCGTTGGAAGGGTGATTCTCGGTAATCGCCGATACGCTTATTCGACGCTGGATTATTTAAATGAATAGATCGGTAATCGAACATACGATTATCCGTGGCTTTTAATTACACCAGCGGACGCGCGCTGTCCGGTTATTATAACAACAATAGATCGGTCGATAATGAGATTTATCGTAAGTAATTATTTTCACAACCGTATATATATGTATATATGTATATTATATATAAATTTTCGAAGTCTTCTCGATATCTCGATATACATGGCAATGATTCAGGCAGTGATTCAGCCGATGGCGTATTTATGAAACGAGTATATGCATGTGTATATGCATATGTTTTTTTCTTTTCTTTTTATTTTTTTTTTTTTAACAAGAGTCAGTCTTTCGTTTTGAAACGACACACGCCGAGAGGAAAACACGCGATCGTACCGGCAATAGTCCTATTTGGATGCAAGAGCGGAACGAACGAAAGCGGTGGCAAGGATGCGCAAGCCGGGTGGAACAAATCAAAACTCTTAACCCAACCTTGTTCTTCACGGTACAGTCGCTTCTCTCTGCTAATGCGCGACCAATTTTTGTCGACCGAAATAGCGTGTACACTTTTCCACGTGGAAGTCCCGTCGGAAGTGGGTCAGATTATATCATCGCGATGGCACGGCTATAATACGAGAGAAAAGTTGAATTGAAATTTCTCTCCTTTCTTCCAGTCGGTCCGTAACACTCTTCTCTACATAAACTTACTTTCAAGATGCAGGTTTGATTCTGATAGCACGGGAAACGTTGGCCGATCGATTCGTTTGATCGTTTACCGTTAATTAACACGGAAAGGGCAAACAGTCGAACTGGTTTGAGAAAATGGCAGTCGCATTACAGCAGAAGTGACTGTAACCGCTACTTACGTACACGCATCTGAATCACATTACCTACAAGGACGTTGCGGTAATTGGGAGAGGGACACCGTAGTGTCTAGATGCAACCAAATGCATGCGTAATGCACCCTACCGACCGCATAAATCACTCAAATGACTATCTCGATCGGGGAAGGGACAGCGCGGCTAGTGGTCAATACTTGTGCAAGTCTATATCGTCGTCATGGCGTTATTGCACCAATATTGCAATCCCAACGTGTGACATACTTTCAACGTTGTGTGACAGAGCATGTTTGGTAATTGTGTAATATGTGTGCCGTTCTTTCAAAGCGTTATTACCATGTCTCGTGCATAGCGTGGTATATGTACATGGATCTTTTGATGGTTCCTCTTCGTCCTCCTTATTTGGCCGTGAATAGTGACTTTGTGTCGAATGGTATTTAACGCGTTCGAGTTGTAGAAACAAGTGGTACGATATCATCGCGATTTAATACCATCTACTCTCACTCACCGCCGTTATTCGTGCACGTGTACTTGTAATATTCTTCGTAACGCGCTATATGTATATATGTATATTATTCTGGAGCGATGCTTTCGTTCGTGAGATTGCTTCACGGCACGTGCGAACGCGAGAACGAATGGCGAAGACTGCAAAACGCTTAGTCAAGACGTACAAGAGATGGAACACGTGTGAAAGTTCCTTGGTTAGCCGCTAGACCGACGGATTCTCTCGTGCCAGACGAAAATCTACGTCTTAGAGGCTTTTTCGGGTCACGCGTAAATATCTGAACGGTAACGGACGCTAAACTCTCGAACGTGAAACTCTTTCTGTCTACAGCCAACGATAAAACCGCTGAAAGATCTTTGATCTTTCTCTCGAGGCTTTTCGTTAAACCCTCGACCAAAAAAAAAAAAAAAAAAAAGAGAAAAAAAAAAAAAAAAAAAAAAGAGAGAAAGAAAAAATAAAAAAAAAAAGGGATCACGCTTGATAACTCGTATCGGCAACGGTATGATACGGTATAATGCGAAAAAACCAAAAGTAAACGGGAATGAAGCCACGTACCGAATACTTCTGCTCGATGTTTTTCGCGTTACGTTTAGCCCGCTCTCGTTTCTCGAGCTTCCACCCGATGGGATGGGCAGCGAAAAAATTTTTACCTTTAACGCATGTGTGTGTGTGTGTGTGTGTGTGTGTACCCCTTGCGCGGGTGCAATGGACTGAACGCAGTGTTCATCAGAATTTCGTTTCTTGTTTTCTTTTTCCCTTCCTCTCCACCACGGGCGAATTTCGAAAAAACTCGCAAAGACTCCGGGGGAAAAAATCGCGCGTAGTAGGATCGATGAGGGGAGGGGGAAAAAAGGTTGACTAGACGCTGTTGGGAGTGGAAAATTAAAATGAGCTGCCCGGGGGATCGTGTCGCGTCGTGTGGGTATCCGTTACCAGGCATTCGCTCGAAAAAACGAGCAAGAAAAAAAAACAGTGTCTAGGGAAGTTGTTGTGGTGCTGCGTGTGTATCGTTCGTGCATTCGCTCAGCTACACGGAAGGAGGGAGAGAGAGAGAGAAAGGGTTAGGCAGTCCGGGGCTAAGGGAAAAAGGAATAAAACAACGTTTTGCGAGATGTCGCTCAGCAACATCGTCACTCTACTCTGTGAGAATAGTTTTCTTTCCTTTTTTTTCCTCTTTTTTTTTTTTTGTTTCTTGTCTCTCTGTCTATCAACTTATCTGACCTGGAGCGTGTACTGTGGTCCGTGAGGCTGTCCATGGTGATGATGATGATGCCTCTGATAATGCTGCTGCTGGTGCGGTGGATCGTGTTGATAACACTCTTGCTGATACTGTTGGGACGGGACAGGTTTCAGAACGTGGTTCGGTCGTTTCTCGGACGCGTATTGCTGGTTGTTGCGTTCCATCGTATCCACCGCTAAGCGAGGATCCTCTATCATCGTGTTTGAAGCCTTCGTGCTGAAACAGGTCGATACTGTCCGTTTCATTCTGCCGATACGGCGCGTATCGCTAATTTAGCTAATTAAGATTCTTTTCGCGGCGATCCTGACTCGATAACTATATCGCGTAGAACAAGCACAAGATCGCGCGAGATTGCACAGGGTCGCGTAGAATCGTCTAGAGTTACGACGTTATTAATTGATCTAGGATCGTGCAGACTTAGAGTAAGATCGCGTAGAATAACGTAAAATTTCGTAGAACAAACAGGAACGAATTCGGTATCGGTCCGCGATACTACTGGCAATTAAGCTCGCAACCGAGTGGAACGGTAAGGTCGAATAATTCATTAGCGCGTACGTGCTTCCGCGAGAACGTATCTCCACGAAAAGAGGATTCTTTCAACGCTGCCGAATGTTGAAATTGCTTCGACGTTCATTCGTGCAAATCACCAGTGGGAGGAGAGGGGGATGCAATATCGCGTGCTTACCAATGCACTTGCTGCAGCGCAGGCACCGTATTTCTGGCCACGCAGCATCTATCCGAGCGTAGGAAACAAACGAATCCCATTACCAGCACCGAGAGCACCGTAAACCCAGCGACAGCGCCGATAACGAGTGGAATCTGTAACAAATACGCGGCACGCGGGGGTGGAGAAAAAAGGAGGGACCTGTTTTTTAGTTGGATCCTGGGGGGAGGACATTGTTTCGAGCGTACGCTCGCACGTAGCACGCGTGCATGGAATACGTGAAACATGGCTTCCAGCCCGTATTTTAATTCAAACGGACTCTGTTCGATTATTTAATTAGGCTTTGGTCGTTCTCGCTTCTCGAGCAACCGAGAGAAAAGGAGGACAGGGCGAGAAGTGTTTGCTCGAAACATGTTGACCAGTCGCCTCTCGTCGTCTCTCAGCGATGAATATCGTTATAATTACCTGGCCCGGTTCGTCCACTCTCAGCATCAGAGCCCGACGATCGCTTCCACGATCGTTCTCCACGATTACGTGGTACAGTCTCTGATCCTCCTTCACCGTGCTAGTCAGTTCCAACACGGCTATATAACAATCCTCGACCGCTAGCGGCTCCAAATCCAACGCCCGATACCGCGACTCCAGAACCTCACCTGTGAACATTTCGCCCGGTAATCAGATCCGACGAATGTCAGACGCTGTTGCGGCTGTAAACGTTTTAATCGACGTGTGTAAGATCATCGATCGTTGGAACCACGTGGCTGAACGAAGGTAATAAAGAACAAACCAGAAAATGGCGAGAAGCGAAAGTCTCGTCTCAACTTCAAACAATGTCAAAGACGCGCGATAAGGTGTGAAACGACGAAGGCGTGAAAAGACGGGGGGGAGGCCGAAGGAGAAGCTTGAACGTGAATCTTGCGAATCGAGGAAGCGATAGCGACGAGGAAGGATCGAAGGCCTCCCGACAGAAGTTGGATGTTGGAGGTTCGGCTCGAGGAGGACGCGAGAAAAAAGGCGGGTAATTAAAGAGAAGCTGACGGCTAAAAGGGATGCTCGAATTAATTAATCGCGAGTATACCACTTTTCAGTAATACCGAGTGCCAATTAGTGAAAAGAGACGCAAAAAAAAAAGACAGAGACAGAGAGAGAGAGAGAGAGATAGAGAGAGAGAGGAAGACAGAGAGAAAGAGAAAAAAAACGACGACGGAAGAAAACTGAAAGAGCAAACCAAAGACTCGAATACTTTTGGCGGTAGAGCTAGGAAGCAGTCTAACCGGCGTGGAGTCTGGTGCTGCCCCATTCCCAAGCCACGAGCCGGGGTTTCGGGTCGGAACACAGTCTGATCTCTAATTTCGCTGGGCTCCCCTCGGTCGTTGCCACGACAAACTTCTCCGTGATGGTCGGTTTCACCACCTGCAACACACGTTAAACAACACTCTCGATCCCGCTTCTTCACCAAAATCTTCCACCGTCTTTGCCCACCGTCGTACGTTCGTAGGGCAACTCGAGTCTGTGAATTCTCTAGAACGATTAAGGGCACGGTGTGATTTTTGTTATCTTCAGCTCAATCGTTAACTTCAACTTAACTTGTTTCCTTTAGAATCAATTTGTCCCTTGGTGTCAAATTGACGCGCAGTGGTCACGACGAGAAGGCAAGTAATCAAGTTTGCAGATTCTTTCATCAACAATGAACAGATCAAATCTTCAGTTCAATTTTATATTATCATCTTACCGACGTTTTATATACATTTACAAGGAAAAATGCAACAAATAGACAGATGAGGGTCAAAATATGATCTATCTTCCGAACAAGAATCTCTTTGATCTTTCATACAGCTAGAACTTAGCTCGAGGCTCAATCTTTCGAGGATCAAGAGGGTGAAAAATCGTCGAAGAATTAATTTCGTTTTCGTTTTCCCGTTTCTCGTTTTTCCACTGTCACGCGAGCGATTATCGTTTTACGGAATATTTCCGAGGCTAATGCCTTTCCGCGAAAAGGGTGAAATATTTCGCGTCGATTGCACGGGAATATTCGCGGACCACAAGTGCTGGCGCACGGATCACGGATCGCGAAACGTATGAAACCAATGTAACTGCAATCAACCGACGAGTGTGTCGTGAAAATGACGTTTTACTCGACCTCGTATGTGCACGCGCGTACGTATATTTTTTTTTCCTTCCCCCCCGTTCCTCCACCACCGCGTGCGCCGGCATAATTAAATTCATAAATATGAATTTCGCGTTCCATATTTAAATACGTTACAATGGAGGGGTGGTGGGCCAGGCGGTAGTGCGCGTCAACAGATCGGCGAGCACGCAGGGCATACAAACATAATTTTGTTAATTAATTACAGGCAGCGATCGTTTGTTTCCCGATCGCATTGATCTGGTAATAAAAGCACGGAACCAATAATCACAACGTGTAAAAATCGGTTAGCCTCCGCTGACCTTTCTCTCTTTCGAATGCGCGCCGCGTGGCTGTCGAATCGATTAAATTTTAACTTCGACTTCTCATCGTGTTCCACTCGATTTGCTCTCTCGAAACAGGGCTTTTTCCCCCTCCCTGGTTAATTCCCTCGATGTGGTGGATTCGACAGTTTCGTGTCCTTTCGAGAACACGCGAATCAGGAAGTTAGGGATGCATGCATCGACACTTAGGTTGCAACGCGTATAGTTTAATATCGCAGCAACTTGCATCGAGTCAGGGGAATCAGAATCTCGTCTCAGCGAGCAGAAATCAATTTCCCCGATCGTCGAGCGAACTTTATCCTAACCGATAACGAGAACGAGAATCATCCGTACGTAAATATAATTTTTACAATCGCCAACATCGTTCTCGTCTGGTTTCAGTTAAAAAAAAAAAAAAAAAAAAAAATCTGTTTCTCTGGATTAATTATTTTTAAATTATTCATTACCTCCGAGCAGTAAGGAAGATGTAATTTGACATTTTTAACTATACACCTGGACGCAGGTTTCGTCAAAGTGTCGATGCATCGCAATGCACGTTTTCACCGAAAAGCATAGCCGAGAAATACATAAAAATCTGGTTTGGCGCGTCTTACCCTAGGCGCGCCGACCACTTGCAGAGATACAGGATCGCTTTTGACTTCCCTGACGTTCCCATTGATCTTGTTCGAGGCGAGACATATGTATTGACCCTGTTGCTCGTACGTCACGTTCGTCAGGATCAATCGTTGCCCGGTACCGCATTCCAATGGCATCCGGCCATCGGTGAAGATCTGGGCCCATCTGGCGTGCCGTTGAAAAACCAATTGTCGCATTTCAGTTCGACACGTTCAATCCACCGGTCTTTCGTTACTACATGGCTACCGCGTGCAACGACGTTTACCATTCTGATAGCGGGGAACCATTTTAATCACATGACGCGGAACGCCCGCTCGTAAATACGCGGATAACATCCACGCGATACACGTGTAGCAACGTAAGGGAGCAACAAGTACACGCAAACAAACGAAGATTGCGACAAGCATGTATTTACAGAGCTACTGAAATCAAAGTGGTAAATTATGGATGGACAATTACGTGCCTGGTAAAATTGGTAAATTTTGTTGCTCACGAAAGCGATCATGTTACATTCGTTTTTGTGAACGTAAATTAAAGAAAAAAAGAAAAGAATTGTAAATATTGAAAAATCCTATACACGTATAGAAGATACAAGATACATTTATATAGAGATGATAAAAAGTATTCTATTAGAATAAGCCTCAGTATTACAGTCAAAATTGCACACAATACGTTGTAGTGTGAGTTATGTAATAATAAACTGCAATATAAATTTGTATGATGTTCGCGAAGATCAATCAATTATAGATTACACATGATACAATAAACTTTAATATCTAATACTAAACTAGATCTGTAGATTAAAGTGCAAAGTTTTCATCAAAGATATTAAAGTAATAGAAAATTTGCAATAAAATAGATTACGCAAGCTTTTATTTATATATATATATATATACTCTAAAGCTACATTATTTTCATAAAATTTCAAATAAAAATTATGAATCGGTCATTTTGACCATTTTGGTAGTTCCACTGGGACAATAGAATTATATTTGAAATGGATTAATGGAATTATATCTAAGATGCGTACCAACTTCTCAACACATTTTCAGATCGCTTTCGAATCATAATCGTAACAGTCGTCTTACGTCGTAAACTGTTGGGACACTTTCGTGAGCCACACTGTAGCTACGAGACAGTATTTCGTCGTGATTCACGCTAGCCGTGCAAACTAAAATCGAAGATGAAAGCCAACTGGCGAGAAGTCGATAGATAAGAGGAAACGACTCGTGAACGAAAAGGAGAGAAAAGGACGATACAAAGGGGGTGGCGGAGGGTCACCTGTATTCAGCCGGTGGCATCGCGTCGGCGTTGCACTCGAACGACGCCCCGGAAAAGAGTAACGCCGTGGTCAGCCGATCCGGGCCCACCGAGCTGATGGTCGGCGGATCTGCGGTGAAAACCAGATCGAACATCCACCTCTCTATCGATCGTTTATCCGTCGATAATCGGAACAAGCGTCGGAATGCTCTCGCGCGCGAATCAAGCTATCGAGGTTTTTATTACCCGAGGTTCTCTCCGCCCGAGAACTGTTGGAAACAGCTGGAAAACCTGGCAAGTATCTACTGGCCGTCGTATCGGTTCCGAAACTATTAAACGAGCCGCTTGCCAACGCGTTACGGGAGACGCTTCGATGGTCATCGTGGTCTCGGGGTCGATCGTCTTTACCCGAGCCGCGTAATCGAGCGATAATCGGAGGAGGTTCCGTTAGCCGTTTATTTTTATTCACAAAGCGACTGAAAGAGCGCGCCCGGCGGTTATTTTCTGCCGTGGTACGGAGGCCGAAAGACCGATCGACTATAACGATTAGGCCGCTTGCTAGGCTCTGTCTTTCCCCGGCGGAAAAAGGGTTAATCGCGGATTACTTTGAGAAACTCGATTGGCCGCGCGTTACGAGGAAGAAGCGAGACGCGTCGGACAGAGTGGAAACGAGGCCGACGACACTTACAGTTGACGGACACTTGAACAGAGACCGGGCTGCTTTCACCCTCGGTGTTGGCCGCCTCGCAGATATAGACGGCCGCGTGATTCCTATAGATCGGCGAGAAGAGCAACGTCTCGCCGATGCTGGCCACCTCGGTCACACCCGGGCTCTTGGTTCTCCTCCAGAGGATCGAGGCCGGTGGATTCGCGTCGGCCAGGCATCGGATCTCCAACTGGTCGCGACCCTCTTCCAGTTGACCGGTCGGCACACCGACCAGCCTCGTCTCCGGCGCGTCTGAAACATTTCCATTTTTCCAGTCTCGGTTACAGTCCCGAACATCTTCCTCGGTCGCGAGGAAACTTTAATTACACCAGTGTCGATTACACGTCCCGACACCCGGCAGTTTAAGGCGGAGAGAAAGGTAGAGAGAAATTAATTTTCTCCTCGGAAGGTTGAAAGAAAGAAAAAAAAAAAAAAAAAAAAAAAAAAAAAGAAGAAGAGAGAAAAGCGGGGAAGAAAAATTGCCGATGGACGGCTGGGGGCACGTGGTTCGACGAACCACGCGCACGAGGAGGGGGGAGAGGAGGAGGAGGAGGACGCGGGCTTAATTGAAATCGCGGGACGCGGGAATTGCTATCAGGGCTTTAATCATAGCGCGGCGGCGGGTTCGCGGAACGCGCTCGCGGAAAAATAAACACGCCGGCTTGCAGAGAGAGAGAGTGAGAGAGAGAGAGAGAGAGAGCAAACACACCGTTGGGAGTAGCAAGTTTTCAGATTCAATCCTTCGTTAATGAGCGCGTAATTAAAAGTGGATCCCGGATCGTATCACCTGAAAGAACCGAGAGATCTCCCCTTCCAACCCCCCAACGGTTGGAGGTTGGCCGCGACCGTCTGGTTGGACGTGGTGGCTGGTCGACCGTTCGTTCGATCGATTTGTTCTCGCCGTTCGAACCGAACAAAGACGTTTCTCCCCCGTCTCTTTCTCTCTCGGGTGATTTTTTTCCCCTCTGGGCCAGCAGGGTGAGGAAGAGAAAGGGAGAGAAAGAACCCGATAATGGAATGGAAAACAATGGCACGCGAGCGCAACACACCGGCGAGAGAGCGTGCGAGCGGTAGAATGCGCGCAGGGGCCAGCGTACAAACCTCGAAATAATGAATCAAAGTTGGACCGGCATCCCGGCCGGTTTCGTTATTCCTTGTCAGAAATAATTAGTTAGCCGCGGCTCACGAAAAATTCAATTACACCTGCGCGCAGTTAATCCTGCGGCCGTTTTCCCTAGCGGGAGCGATAGAGAGAGAGAGAGAGAAAGAGAGAGAAGGGTCCAGCTGCAACTGCATCAGCTGATCTCTCTCTCTCTTTCTCTTTCCTTTCTTTCTGGTTAACCGATGCGCACGTCTCGTCCCAGTCTGGCAAAATTCTACCGGCTTTTACCCTTTTTTCTTCTCTGTTTCTGCCCTCTTTTTTTTCAATCCACGTACATTTCTGACCATAAATCATCGGACGGTTAATGAACTTGAGACGTGAGATTCACGCTAGATTCGCGATCGCGAAAGCCATACGAAACAATCTCAACTTTATTGCCGTATTTTTCCGAGATCCTTCAAATAATTTGTACACTTGGATTTTCCAGAAGATTTTACAGAAACAGCTGCACAGCGTCGTTCCTTTGTTCGAGATCTTTTCAATTTTCGCTAAGCGACTCTGGCGACACGACGCATAATCGGGTATTAATTTTCCAACTTGCCTCTCCCCTTCCACGCGAACTCGATAGATAACATGTTCGCTTCGATTACGCGTGCGCGCGCTATTAATCTCGCCGTGAATCAAACAAACATCGTGAAATCAGAGACAACGCGAGAGTTTATTCAACGTCGTAAGTTACGAGTTACGTCGAGTTGTTGGAGTTGCGATCGATGGATCAATCGCCGTTGGCCTGTTCGGGACCAAAAAAAGACCAGAAAAAAAAAAAAACAAATAAAAAGAGTAAAAAAGGGAAAAAAGAAAAAAAGCGAAGGAAATTTAATTGGTCTGTTACGATAAAAGATTGGCCGTGGGGGAGGTTTGTAACCGAGGTAAAATAATGCTCGGTCGGAGCATTTACTCGGAATCGATTTACTCGGAATCACGTTTCGATAAATGCAGTCTATCAAATCGGTTGGCCGTTTGCTCGCTCCCTTCCTCTGTATTCGATTAACGTGCATTGACGAATTGACGCGTTACGTTGTATTTTTCAACGAAAGCAATTACGCGGTTGAAGGGATCGATCGGCATGGCGCGAAGCGAAGGCCCTGGTCGAAGAACATCGCGGAAAGGACGCCGAATGGGGGGGGTTCGTTCGCTTTTTCACCCTCGGCTCGACCCGGGTTTTCATCCCGACAAAGCTTTCGATTAAAGGCGCTGGACGTGGAAAATAATTTACCGTGTTAATATACAGTTACCCTCCCTCCCTGTTCCCCTGGGGCTCTCTTCCTCCTACTCCCCCGTTTGTTTAAATCAATGAAACTGACGCGGCGGCGGCCGCCGAGAAACGTCACAAATGACGGTTAATTAATGTTGCAATACGGATCCAAATTGTATTAATTAATAATTTCAGCGGCGACCTATTTCCCGAGGGCCGAAAATAACAAGCTGGCATTCAGACTTGGAAATACGATTACGCAACTCGGGAAGAGGAAGCGCGGGCTAAACACCGGCGGAAACTCGGGCGTCTACTACTGTCGATCCTGCTTTTGCAACGCGCGCGTCTCGCGAGAACTCTCTATCCGCCACCGTGTAACTCGATTCCCTCCTCCGATTAAGTGTTTCTTTCGTCTGGCGCGACTCTAACGAACTCGCCCGTTCTACCGGTCCATCTGGCAATCGATCTGGCCGGCCGTCTTCACTCCAGAACCGTTTAGAAGCGTGTAGAAGCGCACGATACATTTTGCTTTTGGACAGAGATTTGGCCAAAAATTCGAAATCTGTTTGTCACCAAAACGAACAATATCTTCTCTCACTATGAACTCTCTTAAAAAAGTAGAATACAATATTTTTCTTGGTAAACGGAAGCATTTAGTCAGAAATTATAAGGCTTGAAAGTCAGCCATTTGATGAGTATTGAGAAATTTTTTATAGTATCTATATTATATATATGAAATGACTTATAATATATATATATAATACAGATACTATAAAAATTTTTTTAATATATATATATATAAAATGAGTGTTTTACAATTATGATGTTTAAGAAGTATACTAACAACATATGTAGAATAATTTATCAGTGTGCCATCTTTATTTTTTTTTAAGGATTGGAAGATAATGTTCTCGGAAAAGGTCCAAAAAATCTTTAATTTTTATCTATTTCCTTAAATATTATATATATGCATATAATAGTTAAAAATTTATGTGCCACGACGTATCCGGAAACATGCGTATTTCCATCATTTTACAAAGAAATCAATTTTGTTATCCGTGTCGAATATTCGTGGATGATTCCGAGGAATAAATAAATAACCAGTTCCAGTTATTTTCCCGGGAATGACGAGAAACTTCCAAAAGCGTATGTTTCTCGTGCGAACCTCCCGACGCGAGGCGAACCTCGAACGTATCGACGAACGATCGCAATTTACGAATTAAAATCGATTTCCCGTACTCGACGACACGTATTTCAGAGCCACCAGCCAGCCAGTCTGCCCTCGTTGTAAAAGCAATCCCAGGCGGAAAAATATCGGCGTAGCGTGACGTTAACGTCGAATCTTCGGCGGATTAATCCGCGAGAACCTGCGGGGTGGATGGGAGAAAAGGGTGGGTAAGGCTGTTTCAGCCGCGAAGACAGAACGTCCCGCGAAGACGTGAAAAATGAAAGAGCCGGTGGGCGCGGCGGCGGGATGCTCTCGAATCGAATCGTCGTATAGGCAGAGCGTGCAGGTAGCTTGCGCAGCTGTTCATTTCACGTAACAATGATTTCGAAATACGCGCGAACGAACACTCGCTGACCCATTCACAATTTCAGCTACATTCCCTCTCTCTCTCTCTCTCTCTCTCTCTCTCTCTCTCTCTCTCTCTCTCTGGCATTTTCTTGCTCTGTTCCACACACCCTTTCTATTTTCCTCCCTCTCTCGCTCTGCTTCCCTTCCCCTCTATTACCCTTTCTGCCATGACTGTCTGTGTTTTATAGGACACCGGTCGGCTCAGTGCGCGTCGTTGTGTGTGGTGTGCTGTGTGTGTGTGTGTGCCAAACCGGTCAACCCTATTTATTTGGTTGCGCGGCGTGTTTCTCCGCGGAAAAGCCTCCGCAGCTGTTTCGATCGGTCAACCTATTTTCTTTTGCTTTTCTTTCTTCTGTCACACCGGTGACTCTGTCCCACGCGTTTCGTCCACACTGACGGACGCAAAACTGGGGAAGTTAACCGCGTGTGACTGGCATCTTCGAAACTCGTGGCTCGTCACTGTCGCCCCTGTCCGCTCGTCACCCACCCGTTCGCCATCCCCCGACCCTCGACCGGCAGCACGATTATATTTTTAATTTCAATTTTCTGTAATTCATTTACAGCGGGAACGCGATCGAGAGCGAGGGAAAATAAAAGTTGGCGGATGTACGTTCGTTTCGTTCGATTGTCAATGAAATCAGTTCGTTTTTACGGCAAATGTAAGACGCGAGAGAATTTAGTTTACGAGTTACTATATCGTTCGAGGAAATTCGATTCGAATTTAGACGATTTTCTCCTCTCTTTCTCGTGAATTTCTTTATTCGTAAATAAAGAAATCGCCTACCTACCGATTAAAGACACAGAGTTCCAACGATCGGGATGATTTCGAACGAAAAATCGCACTAGAGAGAGAACGCACGGGACGAGAAGAAAAGCACCAGGGAGAACGCGATCGATCGATCGGCGGCGGAGGCATGGTGAAAAATGAAAAAAAAAAAGAAAAAAAAGTTAAAAAAATAAAAGGAAAGAAAAGAGAAAAAAATTTTGGCATTCAGACCGGACACGCAGCTCCCGGGGCTATCGCAGTTGCAGCACAGTTTGAAGTTTACAGAAGACAGAAACGGGGGAGGACACATCGTCAGCTGTACATTCGGAAACTACCCTACTGGCCGCCGCCCCGGTGCATAAATCGCGCGTCAGCCTCTTCTGGAGTTTTCAATAAATTCTGTAGCCCCGGCATTCGTTTTCGAACAATGCTTCATGAATATTCGATCAGCATCGGTACCCAGTAAATTACGAGCAAACGAGCGCAACGTTGATCGAAACAAATTCATTATCGCGAGCAACGGGGGAACGGCGGGGACGATAAATTCTGCGCG